CCCCAAAACCCCAAAACCCCAAAACCCCAAAACCCCTAGATTTTATAGATTATTGAACCAATGACGATCCTATTTGAATAATTTCTTCCATACTGAGAGACCAATGGTGATTGATAATGACCCACAGATTCCACAAACTCAGGCAACGATCTGCATTGCATTCGGTACTTGTCTGAGAGCAAAAGCGTTGACCAATACTTGAAGGACTACCTGGATATTAGTCAGAGCTGCAGCTGGTCCTACATATCCCTTCGTTGTTGCATGATTGGCAAGGGCATTTCCTAAAAAACCAAAGCCTCCTCCTAAGATATTGTCTCTCATCACGCTTCCTGAGGCTAGTTCCTGGCTAAACACCACGAATACCATGATTATACCTTGGAATATGTACGAGTGCATTGTCAGCTTCATTGGGTCGACTTTGAACCTCCTGTGATACTCTTTGATGAGGATAGTTCTGCAGAAAAACAGCAAAGTTGTGATAATGCCAACAAGGACACCCCAAACCGGAGAGATTTCAGGAATTATTTCACCGTAAACTTCGACAACAGCTCCTTGGGTGGCCTTCTTGGAGAATGAGATCAGCAAAGCTCAAGTTACCATCAATAGCATTCCAAGGAAGTGGAAACTATTAAGATCTTGGTCATAGAATTTCCATGAATAAACTGCGAGATATACAGAGGTCAAAGAGAACAATGCTGCAATTAAGCCTTGATTGATATTACCATAAAGAGCAAGTCTGAATGAAAGAATAATTAAAACACCTGTAAAGAATGTGAGTACTCCATCTATCATGATTCAAAGGCAATAGATCCAGTTAATCTTCCCTGTTCCTACTTCATACACCCCAGGTGACTTATCTTCAACCCTAATACTCCGATTTCTAAATAATTACCACAATTTCTCACCCAAAACCTACCTTCAAACAAGCCCATACAACGCTTGCATGATCGCATATCCTGCACTAAACGCCAGTGCGCCTACTGACACCACCTCTCTACTATAAATCCCAAAATGGGAAGCCTTGCCTACAAAAATATTGGACAGCCCGAAGAAAACTCCTGCTGCGAGGGCAGTCAAGATCCAGAATTTTGACTTGGTCTCTTCGGAGTTTTCTTCTTCACCTTCGTTAGTTTCTTCCTGGCAGAGGTTTGTTTCGTCTGGGTTTTCGTAGGGTTTGTACTTTGTTGCACTTTGTACATTCATTTTATCTTAAATTATCACTTCTATTTATCAATTCCCAAAATAACTCAAGGGGTTTTGGGGTTTTGGGGTTTTGGGGTTTTGGGG